TCTCTAAAAGGTATAACGTTAAAGATCAAACACTCTTTTAGACACTTCAAGCAAGACTAGTGTATCATTTTAGTTTTATGCTGCTTTAGAGTGAACAAACAGCAGAACCATTGAAAAGTTTGGACATCACAAGAGATGTGAGCTCTCAGATCTTAATCAGCTTGTTTGGGATGTTCACAATCATCATTAGAAAAGGTCTTGTAAAGACTTCTCAACCCTCATCCGAACAGTCAGCAGCTCCTTAAAACAGCTGCTTAGCACTCTGAGAATTTAACATGACCCACAAAGCAGGAGATCGCTACTAGACAACAGCAAAGTGTTCTGGGGTAGATGTTCCTTCAGTTTCAGATGAAATGAAGGAGTTCACAACACTGGAGGTAAACCTGAGGGGTAAAAGAACAAGAATAGTTTCAGAGGAAAGTCCTCATAGGATTGCAAGGAAATCAAAAACCCTTGTGTGTCTGCAAAAGACCTTCAGGATGATTTCACAGACTCTGGAGTGGAGGTGAACATGACCTTCGTGGAGGAAAACATTTCCTGAATACTAACCACAAAATTCAGTTTGCAAACGAGCGTCTAAACAAGCCTGAGGTGTTTTATGAAGGTAAATAAAAAAGTTTAGGTTAGAATAGAACTTTTTGGCTGCACTGAGCATGTTTGGAGAAAAAAAGGTGCAAGATTTCATGGAGGGAACACGTCACCAGCTGTTCCTCACACGGGGCAGATCGATCATGCTCCAGGCTTGTGTTGCAGCCAATAACGCCGACAGCTGCTGAAGGTGGAAAGACATCAGCTTCTCCCACAAGTTAATGATCGTAAACACACCTTATAATCCACAGTGGATACAAATCAAAAGGTGCCAGCTCTGGAATCTTAACATCTTTTGAAATGAGTGTCAGCCCAGAAATCTTGCAGAGCTAGAAAGCGTTTGCAGGAAGAAAGGGTCAAAATCCAAAAAAAAACCTGAACTGAAGACTCTAATCTGCAACAAGAAGCGTTTACAAGCTCTGATATTTGCCCAAGGCGGTGCTACTGAGAGCCGACCTTGCAGAGTGAACAGTTTTTTTAATGTTCTTTTTCATTTAGAAACTGTAAAAGACAGATAAACAAAATGACTCTTGCTTAAAATATTAAAGAAATCATCTTTAACTT